TGCTTTTTTTTTTATCTCAGAAAGAAGTGAACAATGCTCCTTTTCCTCGACTTGCTCAAACACTACAATTTCTTCTCTGTTATCGGCCACATCTCCGCAACCCTCAATAATAAAGGCAACAAAAATAGACCATAAAGAAATTGAAACTTTTATTAGGCTTATAAAGTGACACTTACTGTTATTGTTGTATTATAATTTTACAGCCCCGATTGTAATCCGACACTTCCAGACAACAGAAAAATTGAAAGGACCATAGCAAATAAAATGCATTTAATGAATAAGAAACACCCAATTTAAGCCCCCTCTAAGTAAACTTACAAACAATAAAATACAACCACATATAATGTATAGTAGTGCCATAAACATAGTTTTTATGTGCGTAAATGAAATATTTTTATGAATAAAAAAGAGCTGGATATCATGTAAATAATTATCGTTCTCTATATACCACGCAAAAACAATGAAAATGATATTTGTTTATCTAATAACAATAACAAAATAGTTGACAAGGTTGACTTGCAAATGTCTCCTAAATTAATAAAAATTAGTGAATAAAACTGAGAAAACCGTAGAAGACAGTGAAAAGAGTAAAGGATTCTAAAATAATTTGTCTAAAACTGAAAACTTGAAACACTAACGTAAATGAAAGTGTAATTTTTCGCCAAAAGCTGTTACAGGTGTTTCCTCAAGATTTGCCATCGAATTAATAAATAAATAATTAATACGAAAACAAATATTATTGTTCCGTAATAGCAAGGTCAATATTGTTTATAATGCTGTAACGTCTAATTTGAAAAGCGACACTAAAATGAAGTGAAAATAGGCAAATTAAACTATGAACTATACAAGAACATTAAAGACAACCAATCTTACTTAAAAATTAAAAATGTCACCGCTACTGTCTTTTCCATGAAGCATTCCTTTAAACAGTTCTTTCAAACTTAATAAAACTGCTTTTACTACAATTTTTTTGTACCTACTGCACGTCTGTGTTAAAGAAAAAGAAAAAATTCACGGTGCTCTAATTGAAATTAATTGCAACTTTAGTTTTATATGGTCAAACAAGAAGATTGGCCTTCGTATGCCCAAGACAGAAAACGAGTGCATAACCTATTTCCAGAAAAGGCAGTGGATTTTAATTGAACAATACTGAGAAAACTGAACATATGGAATGATTTCGATTGTGGATTTTCCTTTCTTATCGCTACCAGCTATATTACTCAAAACTCCAATCAAATTCTTTCGAGATATATATCGATTTTACTTTGTAAGAGTAAGAGTAATCACTAATAATTTGAAGTGAGCTTGGGTTTTACTCACTGATGATAATTAATGTACATAATTCAATGTACTATATGAGTTAAAGCCCGATATTTGACCTCCTAAGGTATACTGATCTAGTTTTTTCCATGTTTCACCATTACCTGTCGTTAAGCCCCGGAATTGATTGAGATTCAGCTTTTCATGATACTAGACTGATCCAGCTAAATTCTTCTTCCGGCTTCTGGTTTCCGTCGTGCTTTGGGTTGATTTCTTCCAAACACTTCCTCGGCCGCTACTGTCAGCATCTTCAGTAGCAGCTGCTAAAATGTTTGAAAGAAACCAACCCAGGCTACGGCGGAACCCAAAATCCAGAAGGAAGAAATGTGTTCTTAGTCAATAAAATAATCTATTTCGATCTTAGTCTATCTATGTGCGATTGAAACGAGACAGTCAAAGACAAAAGCCTATTTGTCCTGCGTTTATTTAGTACCTGCCAAGGCTGATGTTCGAAATTTCGAGGCCAAGGCTGTATAGAATAGAATTTAAAATAAGTGCTCTTCCGGTTTATGTAAATGCAGAAGATGAAACATACCATGTAACTTTAAACGGCACAACGCGTTACCTTGTCAAATTAAAGGAGAATAATTTTGTTGATACAATTACACAATGTGATTAATCAGATTGATTGTAATCATGCATTAGTAATTCTATTTTTAATTATAATATTCACTGAACATCTAAAAACTATTGTGCATATTTCATTAGATGTATTATAAGTAAATCTCTATTTTATGTTATTATATTAACTGCATCATTCTTCCTTAAACATTTACTTCTTAGTTTTAGTCAATAAAATAGCCTGCAGATAATATTTTTAGCATTACAATTCCTAGACTAATCCTAAGTATTACGTAATTGAAAATCAGTTTTAGTCATGTGGAAAATCGTAGATATTTTTGCTTTTATTTTAATTTCAATACAGAAAAAACACCCAGTACAGCAAATTTTATAAAATTGCCAGGCGCACCTTTTGTTTAAAAGCTAAAGTTAAAAATAATTTTTTGACACATAGCCTTCTACAAATCTTAGTCATAAGAAAGCAAATTAGTCACTGAGAAAAAAGAAATAAAAATATTATTCATTGATGTTACTAAAATTTCGAAGCTACCAACTCACCTGTCTAATTATCACCGTATGACAAACACAGCGAGGAAATTTTAACGATAATGACATTTTTAATATTATCTAAATTAGACGTAAAATCGATTTTAAATAGATATTACATCGTTAACAACGATGCCACTATAATTATTTCATTCAGTGTTAATTTACTACTAACTACCTGAAAGTAAAATATTAATGGTTGAAAGTTGAAAGTCTGAATCAGTAGTTATTGTACTATAACTACAACAGGATAACTCAATCTCTAAAAATATCTTTTTCTATACATTTTTTAAGAATACGTTTACTAAATGCTCGAAAAATTAAATAAACTCACTTTTCGTTAACTCTTAGCAAAGTTCATAAGAACATCCACAATTGCTTTGATATTTCTTTCCCTACTTTACAACACGCTATACAAGGAACAATAAATCCTTACACACCTTTTTTATTGTTTGTAACACAATTTGCCCAGATGCGACACAACTACAATTTATTTTAGTCTACAAATAAAACGGAACCACCCGAGTATTATATGGCACCTAATAGCTTTTGTTAAAATCTTTCGAGGAACTTCAAATTTTCCATTTCTCATTCTTCTTATCGGCGTTATACCCATCTGACCCTCTGTCGTCCCAAAACATGTGTGTCTATCTATTACATTCGTTCCGGGTAACTGCCAGATATTAGCGTCCCTTTTACTTCCTTTCGCCCTCAAACAAAACACGTGTTTGTCATATTTTCCGATGACAACCGGCAAGTTATTTTACAGTGGTCGTATGCGGCATGACAAATACATTAAAAATACCATTTACAATTTTAAAAATAAACACCTAAAGTGGCAGAACAATAATCATATAAAAACACTATCTTTGCTACACTGCATTCTTCTATATTTCGTATATATCATAAAATTTCCTAGTTTTTGATTTCAATATTTAAAAAGGCACCTACAAAAAAGCTTAAAATGAAATATTATTCTGAAAATTCATTTTTGAATTTTTTACCCACTACACGCTACGTCAAATTAATAAGGGAAAAATTGTTGCTTCATATTAAAATAACTCACTTTGAAAAGATGTCTAAATTGTATGCATGTTTAAAAAGTTATTGTATTAGAAAAGTATCCATCCTATTCCTAAAAATAATAATTTAGCAGACCATAATAAATCTTTATAAGCTTTTATAATTATTCTAGCTATACAATGATATTTGAAAATATATGTATGAAGCAATTAGGTACCTAAGCTGTCAGACTTATTTTAGAAAACGTTTATAACATATGTAAGTACGTTCCTATGTCGTAGCTAAACATATGTACATAGAACCACATCGTTTAAAATTAATGGATTTATTTACTTTATGTGTTAGCAAAAAAAAAATGAATTATTTAACCTTCGCTGCATTTTAAAGAAGTGTGGATGTATCATACGAGTTTTACTCATTCAATAAACGAGTCAACATTTCTAGACAATTAAAAATGGTAATTTTTGTCATTGTAATGAAGTCACTTTAGACATTTATATACAATCATTTTGATGTTGTTGTTATACTAAAAATATTAAAGTTTTTCAACTTTTCTTTTAAATGTTACTTTTACGTTATGTTACTATTTGTTATCGCCTTTTTTATCAATTTTGTGGTCGAAAAACAAAGGCAATTGTTTATTTTTTATTTTATAAGCCAGCATACTTTCGCTATCGCTCCCCTCATCATACAAATTTTTATGCATTTTACGTCGATGCTTTTAGAAAATGATTTGGTAAATTGGAAAACGTAAAAATAAGTGGTGAAATTAACATATGATTGACGTATTCGGACGTATTAAGTAGATACTTTATTCTATTTATTGTCTTGCATTTGTGTATTTTTATCTATTACTGGTTAAATAGAACGGTGGTGGAGGTACTTTGTGTTTTTTTTTTGGTGGGGCTCTAGACAAAATTCACTCCAAAACTTTTTTACTTGTTTGATTGGGTTAGGTAAGGCTAGGATTAGTTTAGGTTACGCCAGTATCTTTTTCAAATTTTAAGTCGTTTTATAATATGCCCAATTATGCAAGGCATGTTGCAAAACAATACTTGAAGGCGGGCACTATGTTACAATCAATTTAGCGCCCCTACGCATTTTGCAAAACTCCTAGGCGTATGACAAAACGTCTAAATATGACACTCATGTAAAATTTAGCTATTTATTTGGCAGCTTTACAATTTGCCAAATTATTTTCCAAAGGTCTTGACATTTTATAAAAAACCAAATTTTTCTACATCCCTACTACATAAATAACAAAAAAAATATATCATAGGTCGAAGCAATTGTCGAGATATTTCTTTCCTTTAATTTTTGTTACTTTACTATATCAATATGTTGCATCAAGAATACACCGTAAACAATATCCATTATAACAAATAAAATTGTTTTTTAACGTTAGTCAGAAGAAGTAAAAAAGTTGATGACGGCACGCGTATTTTACAATCGTTTCGTTTAATTAACGTGCGCTAAAAATAGCGCATCGCACACAGATTTCCCGGTTTCTGTCGAAAATGCGTGCAGAGAGCGAAAAATTTCCAACTTACCAACTTTCGCCTCGCGTCCTGTGCGTCGCGATGCTAAATCCAAACATGGACTCGGACTGGCCTTTATGCCTAACATAATTAACAGTGTCAACGTTAAAACAATTCACAACAACAAATAAATAAACGTTAGCAACAAACACACCACTCAAAAACTTCGGACACGTGCACATTTTTCTATTGTCAAACTTTTCCGGCTAAGAAGCACTTAAACAACTAAGGATTTGTGCATGAAGATTAGAGCGGACATAAAAAACGTGTGACAAATTCAAAAATCTTCAAATTAGTAGTTGACAGCTGAGAAAATGTAAAGTTGATCGCATCTTTTGAAATGTTCGCGCTGAACCGCTTCAAGTTTGAGCGCGACTGGAGTCCTGTGCACGTTGTTTAAAGTGTAGGCGCCAAACTGTGATGTAATCGAGCGTGAAGGAATAGAAGTTGAAACTAATTATCTTATGCCAGTCCTGTGAGGATTATGGCGCACTCTGTTGGACAAACAGTTGACAATATCCTGAAAGCTGCACCCCGACATCCAAACGGACATTTCCAAGTGTAGGCAGTATATCGCCATCTAGTGGGGTTTTCCTGCTAATGAAGTACCTCATGCATAAGACAAAAGCTTATAATGGACATCGTTGAGACATCTGTTATTGTAAAGCTAGACACTGCAAAATGATCGTATAAACAAAAGCGAACTATACACTGACAATTAATATGGTAATTGTAATGGTAACGCTAATGAACAAACAGAAAACTAAAATAGAAAAATGAAAGTAATCTTTACAATATTTGAAATTTAGTTTTACATTATGAACATCTCTGTACACGTACCTGAAGTATTATCGAAAATTAAAAAAAATTATGAAATTAAATAGTAAAAATTTCTAAACAAAAGCTGCGATTAATTTCTAAATTAAAAATTCGTTCCCAAATAAGGGGCACAGAGGGGTGTTGCTTAGCGAGATATGATCCCCCCTCGCAAAAGGAAATCTGACATTTGCGGTTCATCAATTTTATTGTAATTTTTTCCCTAACTTGGCAGTTCTTAAAATTATTTATTACGATGAAGTCATTCTCATTTCTAGTTTTAATCACATGAAATCGTTAATAAGGGGTGGGCTACAAATTGAAGAGCTTTAGTTAGTGCCAATTTACATCCATATAAACAAAATCGTTTTTTTTTCAACCTGTTTAATTTTTACTTTTCATTCTGTGTACATTCTTGTAAATTATCGCTCTTGTGTGTAGTAATAAACAAATTTTATGGCGACACACATCTTAAATAATCTTTGTTAAATTTGGACCAAAGAGGACATAAATCTACTTTNTTATTTGTTGTTTTTAAGTTAAGGGTATATAAATAGTACTGTACTTATAAAATTTGAAGCATGTTACATAAAGCCGTTTTCGTAATATGTCTAAGAATTATTATTCTTCTAGTGTTAAAATTAAAAACAATATATAACGCATCAAGGGAAAAAAGTGCGGCATTTTCTCAAGTGGACCGGAAGGATGGTAAAATCCTTTCCTAACAAGGAGTAAATATGATTTCTCAGCCCGAAGGATATGCTGTACTTCTGTCCATATAATCAGGGAAAAACATCCTACTTTGGGTAGATATTGTAAAAATATAATTTTCGTCTTTTTGTACACTGGAGCAAGGATTTCTATATTACATGAGAATTACAAGTTGACATCTCAATTCGATTAGAAAATAGAACCCATTAATAGAAGAACAGGGTTGAAGGCAATGGGTTCTACTGGGCTCTTCCGCTACGGGACCCTGAGACATCCATTTCAAAGATCACATACGTTTCTACTGCAAATCCTTATTTTAATTTTGACGGACATTGGCAAAAGATTTAATTTTATAGAAATTTAAGTATTAGCAGATGAATCGAAGGTCGAACTTAAGGTTACACATCAAAATAATGTTGCAACGGCGCCAGTATAGATTTATAAAATGAATTAAATATGGCGAAGGTGCCGGGAAGCAGATTTCTAATAATACCAAAATTTATTTGGACTAACAAATACCTTATTATGTTATTTTGAATTGGACAATATATCGACTAAAAATGAAACACACACAAGTAAAAATATATCTAGTTCACATTTGCCTCTATACCATCCTCGGAACGCATTAGATCAAAAATTACACGTAGAAAGGATTCGCGCAACATAACTTAAAGTATTTTCAGAACGTAGATAATGTAAGATTTAAAAATCTACAATTTAGAATTTAAAAAATTTAGTAGGTTTAATATTTTTTTTAACGTCAATGTAATTATACAAAAAGTTCTATTTCCTACATTTTTGAACTGACACTGGATTTGGAATCAGTTTCATCTTTAAACATTATCGTACGTATTTTATATCTCAGCTTTGGTAAATGTCTAGGTGTTAGCCCGCAATCCCCAAAGATGTGGGGGTGGGTGGGATCGAAAGAGGAGGTCTCCCCCACCACTGTACCCCCATTAAAAGTTATTGAGGTTACACGGGGGTGGGGGTAGGGGGGATCGAAAGCGGGTGGTCACCTGAGTAAAACCCCATAAAAAATATGCGGCGGTCTCACCTCCATAAAAAGTTATTGAGGTTACATGGGGGTGGGGGTAGGGGGGATCGAAAGAGGGTGGTCACCTTAGTAAAACCCCATAAAAAATATGCGGCGGTCTCACCCCCATAAAAAGTTATGGGGGTTGAAAGTTGATTATTTTGTCAATTTTCATACACTATAATTCAAATAAAATTCAATAAAAAAAATATTTTCAAGCGGGTGGAGGTGGGGGATCGAAAGAGGGTGGTCAGTTGAACAAAACCCGATAACCTAGCCTAACCTTACCTACCCTATTGATAAAGATATTTAAATAATGTTTTATATAACTTTCTCAATATTTTTATGTATTTTTCCATTAGTTTTACCTTTGAATATTGTTTAAGAATGACTATATAAATATTTACATTCCTAGAAATGTATAAAAATTGGTATTTTTATTAACTTTGAACCCCTGAAACTTTTTATGGGGGCGAGACCACCAGGAACTTTTTATGGTACAGTGGTGGGGGATACCTTCTCCTTCGATCCCCCCCATCCCCATCACCTGGACCTTTACCCTCAGCTTTTATTTAACAGACTTTTGAAAGAACATTTTCATGTCACATCGTATGAAAAAGCTATATGGGAAGCTTTTTGTATTTGTCAGCTAATATTTACAGCGAGCTTTTCGATGGCTTCGAACAAAAAATAAATTAGTTTATTCAAAATAGTTAAAAATTCGACCAAGTCCATGATTAAGGAGGAGAGACTTGATGCCCTTCGATGATAAAAAGTGAAAAAGACCTTTGCGAAGTTCTTGGCCTAAATAATAAGGTGAATTTATGGACAAAACTTAAACACTGGCGAATTTGATATTAACTTATTAATAATCTTAGTAATAAACTGAATCTGTAGTGAGATGAAATTAAATTAATTTAACATTAATGGTTGACATTTTTTATTATTTATAAATGCATATTTTTGAGCGTGTGTTTGTTAATTCTTTGTTGGAAAAGTACTACAGCAGTTAGTTATTCGGTTGCGCCCCCCCCCCTCTCCAACAGAATACAGTACTAGAGACCTGTGTGTAAATATAGCTTATCAATTTTTTCAATGTCAACGAAGAAAAACGATTCTATAAACAGATTAACATCGATCTTATTATGAATATGAGCAGCCAGATTAACGAAGCAGTCATTTCGATTTAAACGCAAGTACAATTTAAAACCAAGAACACAAAAAGGTCAAGACTTCTGAAATTGAAAAGAAGACAAATTGTAAACAAATTCTTTCGCATTAAGTACACACAATTTCGAAGCGAAAAAACCTTGTGCGCATTAAATGTGTAAAGCGCAATTTGTAAAATTGTACGCTGTATGTAACGTCTGCGTATGTTTCGATTTACAACACGCGCAAAAAAAATAACTGCGATCTTTTTTTTGCCATTCAAGCGTACCTACACGCACAAATATCTTCTACGTTTTACGTATTCAAAATTGGATCCGTCGCCCTTGTGTAAACCGAAGAGTTTGACCAGCGAATAAAAAATGTGCACCTTGAGCTTTACAAAGCCTAAAAATAATCATGTGATCCGGGAGCACCGAACTATGTTTGCAAAATAAAGAATATACGGGGAACCATCGAAAAACCAGCCAAGTGCGAATTGGACAATGGGAACCCCTAACAACCCTAAATTTATAACTATGTGATCGATAATCATATTTTAACATGAGGTTTTCAGGTATTTTTCATGCTGTTTATAACTTTCTTTAGTTGTATAATAAAATATTTTTAATACTTATTTGTTGTTTTTAAGTTAAGGGTATATAAATAGTACTGTACTTATAAAATTTGAAGCATGTTACATAAAGCCGTTTTCGTAATATGTCTAAGAATTATTATTCTTCTAGTGTTAAAATTAAAAACAATATATAACGCATCAAGGGAAAAAAGTGCGGCATTTTCTCAAGTGGACCGGAAGGATGGTAAAATCCTTTCCTAACAAGGAGTAAATATGATTTCTCAGCCCGAAGGATATGCTGTACTTCTGTCCATATAATCAGGGAAAAACATCCTACTTTGGGTAGATATTGTAAAAATATAATTTTCGTCTTTTTGTACACTGGAGCAAGGATTTCTATATTACATGAGAATTACAAGTTGACATCTCAATTCGATTAGAAAATAGAACCCATTAATAGAAGAACAGGGTTGAAGGCAATGGGTTCTACTGGGCTCTTCCGCTACGGGACCCTGAGACAGGATCAATTAAGTAACAGTCTTACATTCAACCGCAGGATGCATGTGTTATATTAGATAAAAAGCTATAACAAAACTATTTTGTATATATCATAAAAATAACTAGATATAATGCGTAATAAGAATATTCAAGTATTACGTAAGCAGGATTGGTAGAGAATTCAATGCTTTCGTACCTTGATTTCCAATGGAAGCGAGAGAAAACAATATTTATAATTATTATTTTAATTATGTATGACAAAGTACCATTGCACATTACCAATGGGGGTGGTTCTAGTATCTGCAATAATAAGAACTTTTACAATTAGATAATATACTTTCGAGTAAAACTTAAAATTTTACAAAGGCAATATTAACTTAAACAATCCACTTTGAGTCTTGGCTTGCACTTAACCAAAAAGAAGATTTAGACGCATTGCTTGCCGTGACCAATTGCTTAAATTTTGTGTCCTTCTGTCCACTCTGATTTATTGAAGTGTCATCCATAAAAAATCATTTTAACTTTTAAGTACAACGAAATTCTTTATAAAAAATCTAACAGACGATTTTTATGCTTAAAATAAACTATTATTCGAAAAGCTGGATTTTGAGCAAGACATGTTTATAGAAAGAAAAAAATACG